CATCACCCTAATACCAAAACCAGATAAAGACATTTCAATGAAAGAGAATTACAGGCCAATATCCCTCATGAACATAGATGCCAAAGTCCTCAACAAAATTCTAGCAAATCGACTCCAGAAGAACATCAGAAAGATCATACACCATGACCAAGTAGGATTTATTCCAGGAACGCAAGGATGGTACAATATCCACAAATCAATAAACGTGATACATCACATAAACAAATTGAAAGATAAAAATCATATAGTCATATCAATTGATGCAGAAAAAGCATTTGATAAAATCCAACACCCTTTCCTGATAAAAACTCTCAACAAGATGGGAGTAAAAGGATCATACCTCAACATAATAAAAGCTATATATGATAAACCCACAGCCAACATTATACTCAATGGGCAAAAACTAAAACCATTCCCTCTAAGAACAGGAAGACAGGGATGCCCACTCTTGCCACTCCTGTTTGACATAGTACTGGAAGTACTAGCCATTGCAATTAGACAAGAGGAGGAAGTAAAAGGCATCCAAATTGGAAAAGAAGAAATAAAGTTATCCTTATTTGCAGATGACATGATATTGTACATAAAAATCCCAAAAGACTCCATTAAAAAACTAATTGACTTAATAAATGAATTTGGCAATGTAGCAGGATACAAAATTAATGCCAAGAGTTCTATGGCATTTCTATACACCAATAGTGAAACTACAGAAACGGAAACTAAAAAATCAACAGCAACAAGTGTTGGCGAGGTTGTGGAGAAAAAGGAACCCTCGTGCACTGCTGATGGGAATGCAGACTGGTGCAACCACTGTGAAGAACAGTGTGGAGTTTCCTCAAAAAACTGAAAATGGAACTCCCATTTGACCCAGTAATCCCACTCCTAGGAATATATCCCAAGAAACTAGAAACACCAATCAGAAAGGTTATATGCACCCCTATGTTCATAGCAGCACAATCTACAATAGCCATAATTTGGAAACAGCCTAGGTGCCCGTCAGCAGGTGATTGGATCAAAAAGCTATGGTACATCTACACAATGGAATACTATGCTGCCATAAAAAAGAAGGAATTCTCATCATTTGCAGCAACCTGGATGAAATTGGAGAACATCATGCTGAGTGAAATAAGCCAATCAATGAAAGAGAAACACCACATGACCCCACTCATTTGTGGGTAATAAAGATCATTATAAATTGATGAACCAAAAGATAGATATAGAGACAGTAAAGCAACAAGCAGATTGTCAAATTACAGCGGGGAGGGGAGGAGGATCTGGGGGAGATAATAGATCAACTGAAGGACTTGTATACATGCATATAAGTACAACCAATGGACATAAAACTCTGGTGAGGGAGGGAGGTAAGGTAAGGGAGGGAGGGAGGGGGGCAAAAAAAATCAATTAAATATGTAAAAATAAATAAATTAATTAATTAATTAAAAAAAAAAAAAGCTTCCAGCAAACAAAAGCCCAGGGCGAGACAGCTTCAGAGGGGACTTTTACCAAATATTCAATGAAGAATTAAAACCTATACTTCTCAGACTATTCAAGAAAATTCAAGAGGAAGGAACAATTCCAAGCTCTTTATATGAAGCCAGCATCACTCTATTTCCAAAATCAGATAAAGACAACATTAGGAAAGAGAATCATAGGCCAATATCCCTCGTGAAAATAGATGCAAAATCCTCAACAAAATTCTAGCAAATCGGATTCAGCAGTATATCAGAAATATCACACTCCATGACCGAGTAAAATTTATCCCCGGGATACAAGATGGTACAATATTTGCAAAACAATAAGCATGATACATCACATAGTCAAATTGAGAGATAAAAATCACATAGTCATATGAATTAATGCAGAAAAAGCATTTGAAAATATCCAACACCCTTTTTTTTGACAAAAACTCTCAGTAAAAGGGGAACAGAGGGATCATACCTCAACAAAATAAAAGCCTTATATGACAAACCTACAGCCAACCTCATTGTCAATGGGCAAAAGCTAAAATCATTTCCCCTAAAAACAGAAACAAGTCAGGGATGCCTATTTTCACCACTCCTGTTCGATATAGTACTGGAAGAGCTAGCTATAGTGATCAGACAACAACAAGAAATCAAAGGCATCCAAATTGGAAAAGAAGTAAAACTGTCTTTATTCACAGATGACATGATATTGTACATGGAAAACCCCAAAGACTTCATCAAAAGTTTTTTAGACTTAATAAATGAATTTGGCAATACAGCAGCATACAAAATTAACACCCAGAAACCCATGGCTTTTTTACAAATCAATAAAGAACGCACAGAAAGAGAAATGAAAAAAACAATCCCATGTATAACTGCAACAAAAACTAAGATACCTAGGAATAAATTAACTAAGGAGTTAAAAGACTTGTACCTGGAGAACTACAGGACATTGGAAAAAGAGATAGAGGAAGACATAAACAAATGGAAGAACCTACAATGTTCATAGACTGGTAGAATCAACATAATTAAAATGCCCATACTAACCAAAGGAATTTATAGATTCAGTGCAGTCCCCATCAAAATACCAACAGAATATTTCACAGACCTAGAACAAAGTCCTCCAAAATTCATCTGGAATACAAAAAAAGATACCAAATAATCACAGTGACCCTGAGGAAGAACAAAGATGGAGGGATAAAAATACCAGATTTCAAGCTTTATTACAAAGCCACAGTTCTCAAAACTGTCTGGTATTGACTTAAGTATAGACATATAGACCAATGGAACAGAACAGCAAACCCAGAAACAGACCCAAGCCATTATACTCAATGTTTGACAAAGGAGGCAAGAGCATACAACGAAGTCAAGACAGTTTCTTCAAAAAATGGTGCTGTGATATTGGGTAAGATTCATGCAAAAAAAAAAATGAAATTAGATCACCAACTTACACCATACACATAAACAAACTCAAACTTGCTAATGGGCTTAAATGTAAGGCAAGAAACCATAAAATGTTAGAAGAACCCATTGGCAGCAAAATGACATATATCATAGCAATATCTTTAACAGTACAGCTCCTAGGGAAATGGAAACTCAGGAGCAAATAAACAAATGGGATATCAAAATAAAAAAGAACAAGAAAGTCCACTGCAAGGGAGAACATATTTTCCAATGCTATTTCAGATAAGGGTTTAATCTCCAAAATTTATAGAGAACTCTTACAACTTAACAAAAGGAAGATAATCCAATCAAAAAATGGGCCGAAACCGGTTTGGCTCAGTGGTAGAGTGTCGGTCTGCGGACTGAAAGGTCCCAGGTTCAATTCCGGTCAAGGGCCTGCAGGGGATGGCAGTTGGGGGGGTCAGTTGGGGGGCAGGTCTGCAAGGGAGGGCAGTTAGAGGCAAAAAGGTTAGCAGGGGAGTGGGTAAGGCGTGATTAGGCTGGCAAGCAGAATTGATTAGGGTCAATCAGGCAGGCAGGTGATCGGTTGGAAGCCAGGAGTCCTGAATTGTGAAAGGGATGTCCAACTGCCCATTTAGAACCGATTTCACCAGGATAGGGTCTAAACAGGCAGTCAGACATCCCTTGGGGGATCCGAGATTGGAGAGGGTACAGGCTGGGCTGAGGGACACCCTCCTCCACCATGCACAAATTTCGTGCACCAGGCCTCTAGTATTTAATAATAGAAATATTCCCAATATACAAGTTAACATCAGCTATACTACATCTCATGTTGCAAAAATAGGTAACTACAAGCAGGAATTATTTTTTTGTGTGTACCAGATATTAGGTAAATTTCAGAGATGCAAGTATATAAACCCTTTCAAAATTTTTAAGTGTTGATGGTATTAGGAGTTCACTGCATATATTTTCCTCTCAAAATTTATGCCTTTGTTATTTACATATTTGCATAAAAAGCATTAGTCTTACTTTCATCTGCAATAATTTGTGGTTTTAGATGTTCAAATTGTAGTAGAGATATTAAGAAACTTTCCTAAGTTAGAGGAGAAAGTGCATGGGGATTTCAAATAAGCAATCAATGACCAAAACATAAAAAATTTGAAAAGGTAGAGAAAGTGCAAAAAGGTGGACACTTGTGCCTCATTACCAGATGACATTATTAAAAATATGTAGGAAGGTAAAGAAAAACAGAAGAGACTTAAAATTAAATAGAAGCAAAGTAGAACCACATATAAAAAAATTTACACATTGAAAAGGCTTTACTCTTTCAATAAACATAGGTTTTATTATTTCTCAGTTATAACTTTACATGATCTAGTTCCTCTTGGTTGAACAGAATCCCTGAGTTACTCTCCTTAATAGAAAAGCTCAAAAAATTTATTTTAAGATATAAATTTCACAAAAGTGTTAGCTCATGCCATGTTTTCTCATTGATATTTATGGTAACTCATCAGATTTGATCATATTACATAACTATGTCAGAACATGGTTTAATAATTATGAGTAAAACCTACTTTTTAAAACAATGATTCCTTGTGAATAAAATTATTTAATATGTAATCTATACATATGTGTAGAGGGCCAAATGGGAAGTCACCTGGACATTCTTTAAATTGTTGCTGACTGGGCCCGGGATATTGACAGAATCATGTCAATTGCACTCCCACCGTGGGAGTGCAGAAATGTTCTTAGTTCCTGGCTTGTGTTTGTCCAGCAGAAAGCAGTGGGTGGGATTTGGACTCTCCCAGGCTCCTTGTTTTCCTGTGAAGCCCCTTGTTGGATTGGAGTATTAATACTGCGTGACTCAGGAGATCGTCAGTCTGTCTCTCCAGCAGAGGAGGTCAGCGGTCCTCCCAGCTCCCAGCTTAAAATCTATCTCTGTATCTTCTCTCTTTATTTCTATTATTTCTCAATCCCTGGGCACCTCCACTTAGAACCGGTTCGTTCATCTCTCTTTCTGTGCGGGACGCAGAAAAGGGAGATCCCAGCCACATTAGACCCCCGCACATATGAATTTCAACTCTTTTTAAAAAATAATTTAATGTAGACTTAAAAATCATAGGTTATTTTTCTTACCATTCAGTAAACAAGACAATCAGATCCTCCTGACTGGCATAATGTTCCATAACTTCTTTCATTAATCTTACTTTTTGGCCTCCTCCAATGCTATTAATTCCATCGCCACCTCTCCATTCTTCTCCTTGACCAAGGACCTATAAATAAAATCAACATTTCATCCCTGAGCAAAATTTCAAATGATAGTACCATAAAAACTGTAAGTCATCAGTAATTTGCATAGTATTACACAGTAACCACTTTTTAAACATTTCACTAAATCATGAAACTAGAAAGGAAACAACATGATATCTAAGTCAGATCATAATTCTTTAATGTTTCCCACCCCATAAAAATACCATTCCCAATTTTATCATTCCGAAGTAGACTCTAATCTGGGAGAGGAGTGGGAGGTGGGGTGTCATAGAAAGTATTTCTCATATTTTATTTCTATTTGTCCAGATTTTAAAAAAAAAATGAAGAGAGTTTCCATAACACTTTTCAATAGGGCAAAAAGTCAGTATGAGAAACACTGAAAGCCCTTGAAGCTCAGTGACTCCTGATGGGGCCATAGACAGTTTTCCTACTGAAACAGATGGGTTTATGAGGAAAACACAAGGGGTGGGGGCATCAATCAAACACTCCCTTTTTATTCATTACCCTCGAAAGCTTAACAGTAATCCATCAATGCAAGAAAATGCCTAAGCACAATTAATCAAAACTAAAATTGGAGCTTCTCTCAATAAGCAGATCCCTCCTGAATTAAAAGTGCAAGGTGACACAATGTGCCTGGCTGTAAGGGACCAAGTAGTATATGTGCCCCTTCCCAAACATAAACCTTGTATTGTTGTTTCATCTGAAGATTGAAATTCCCAAAATGATATACTTACAGATTTTTTAAATTAAGGTGGAATGAAATAAAAAATAAATACAAAAGGGAAGGGTAAAATAAATTTAGAAAATAGTAGTTTCTATTTTAGTTAACATTGAATCAAATATAAATATAGCTGGCAAAGTCCATGGACTCCCAGCCTTACCTCTCTAGTTATCACTTCATGAAGGTTGGAGGAAAAAGGTTAACCAAGAAAACAAACTGATATGAATCTGGATTAATACTGAGGCTAGTCTAGTAGATATTTTAATTTTGGCCCTAAAATCTGGCCTCCTGCCAGGCCGATGTGGTTCAGTGGTAGAGCACTGATCCATGAACCAAAAGGTCACTGGCTCAATTCTCAATCAGGAGACATGCCTGGGTTGTGAGCTCCATCCCCAGTAAGGGGCAAGCAGGAAGCAGACAACCAATCAATGGTGTTTCTCTCTCATCAATGTTTCTATATCTCCCTCTTCCTTCCCCTCTCTCTAAAATCAATGAAAACATTAAAAAAAAAAAAAAAAAAAGTGGACACCTGCCCTGGCTGGTGTGCTTAGTGGTTAATATAATAGCCTGTGGATAGAAGGATTTCAAGTTCAGTTCCCAGTCAAACTGGGTTGCAGTTTCCATCTCCTGTTGGGGCATATGTGGGAGAAAACCAATCGATGTGTCTCTCTCACATCAATGTTTCAATGTTTCTCTCCCTCCCACCCCTCTTCTTTCCCTTCCTTCCTCCCTCTCATTTTCCCTCAGTTCCTCCCTCCTATCCTTCCACTCTAAAAATCAATGGAAAATATATCCTCTGATATAGATTACCAACAACAAAACAAAATGTGGCCTCCTCTGGCCTGAAGATTTATTAGTATTATACTTCCATTCCACAGCCCTCTTGGACTTCTCTGATACCACAATAATATCGCGCCCACTATAGTAGGCTCAATCATGCTTGACTTTTCTCCTTTTATTCCACTAAATCAGTGTGTCAAATGAGACCCTGCTTCTGAATCAGATGGGGGGCTTATTCAGCAGGTTTTGGATGGCATCTGAAAATCATTATTTCTATTTCCCAGATCATGCTAATGAACTCTGAGAACGATTGCATTTACAATGGGAAGTCAGGAGGATCAAATCTCCAGTCAGTTGAATAGGACTGGGGTTCATGATTTGATGTTATTGCTCCTTACCCTAGGCCCTTAAAAACTGCAGTGTGAGGTGGTATCTCATTGTAGTTTTGATTTGCATTTCCCTAATAGCTAGTGAAGTTGAACACCTTTTTATTTGTTAGAGTCTAGGGCAAGTTTTTCTTACCCATAAACAAAGTAGTATCTAACTTGCATAGTTCATTTAATGAATCAAGAACACACCATATATAAAGTTCCTTACATGGTGAATCACCCATAAGAAACATTCCTTGCTGAACTCTAAAGCTGCCCCTCATTGCATTTCAGCATTATTTTCCAGATTTTTCTGTGACTCCCATATGCCTCCTATCAGTGCTTACTACTATACTAGTATTCCTTCTCTATCCTAAAAAACTTACAACATTGTTCTCATTTATCCTGTATTAAACCTCTTGTTAATACTAGATCTCTTTTAAAGCAAAGTTCAGCCTCTTTATCAGCTGTTCTATATTAACACCTGTACCTAGATTTCCAGTGGCAGCAAAATCTACCTTTTTTTAAAAAAAAATTATTGTTTAAAGTATTATCTAAGATGCCTTTTTCCCCATTGACCTCTCCCTGGACAACCCCTCACCCCAGCACATGCTATCACTCCCTGACTGTGCCCATTGGTTATGTTCATTTGCATGCATACAAGTCCTTTAATCTTTTACCCCACACAACTTCCCTCATAGGTTGGACAGTCCTTTCAATGCTTCTATGACTCTGGTTCTGTTTTTGATCATCAGTTAATGTTGTTCATTATATTCCACAAACGAGTGAGATCATGTGATATTTATATCTTTCTCTAACTGCCTTATTTCGCTTAGTATAGTGTTCTTGAGTTCCGTCCATTCTGTTGCAAATGGTAAAAGCTCCTTCTTTTTTACAGCAGCATAGTATTCCATTGTGTAGATGTACCACAGTTTTTTAATCCACTCATCTGCTGATGGGCACTTAGGGCGTTTCTAAATCTTAGCTATTGAAAATTGTGCTTCTATGAACCTAGGGGTCCATAATCCTTTCTGACTAATGTTTCTGTTTTCTTGGGATATATTCCTAGAAGTGGGATTACTGGGTCAAAAGAAAGTTACATTTTCAATTTTCTGAGAAAATGCCGTGGTTTCCACAGTGGCTGCATCAGTCTACATTCTCACCAGCACTGTCAGAGGGTTCCTTTTTCTCTGAATTCTCGCCAGCATTTGCCCTTTATTGTTTTGTTGATGATAGCCATTCTGACAAGTTCTTATGCCAGTGGGGTGGTACCTTGCTGTTGTTTTGATTTGCTTCTCTCAAATAATAGTGACTTTAAGTATCCTATATAATAAAAGGCTAATATGCAAATTATCCCCTCAAACAGGAGTTAGACCATGAGTTCAACTGGAAGTTTGACCAGAAGGTTGGGCCAGATGGCCAACCACTCAAAGTCCCCAACCCTGGACAGACCCTGCCCCAGATAGGCTCTCCCCACCACCATCAGGAGTGGAGCTGGTCAACTGCCCGAAGCCCCTTCCTTGGCCAGCCCCACACACAATTGCCTCCCCCAACCCTGATTCTGGGCCAGGCCTGCCCACTAACCACCCTCAGCTCCTCCCCCAGTGGGCCCGCCCCAATCAGTCCCTATTAGAGCAGGTCGGCCAGACCCCACCCATTCACGAATTCCTGCACTGAGCCTCTAGTGTTTTCAAATGTCTCTTAGGTTTCTATGTGTCCTCTTTTGAAAAGTGTCTATTTAGGTCCTTTACCCATTATTTGGATTGTTTATCTTCCTTTTGTTAAGTTATATGAGTTCTCTGTAAATTTTGGAGATTAAACACTTACTGGATATAACACTGGGAAGTATGTTCTCCCATGAAGTGTGTTTTCTTATTGTTTTGTTGATGGTTTCTTTGCTGTGCAGAAGCTTTTCATTTTGATGTAGTCCAATTTGTTTATTTTCTCCTTAGTTTCCCTTGCCCTAGGAGTTATACTGGTAAAGATATAGCTTTGACAAGTGTCTGCTATTTTGCAGTCTATGGCTTCCTCTAAGATTTTAATGGTTTCCTCCCTTACGTTTAAGTCCTTTATCCATTCTGAGTTTACTTTTGTATATGGTGTAAGTTGGTGGTCTATTTTTATTTATTTATTTTTCTTTATTGATTAAGGTATTATATGTGTCTTATTACCCCATTGACCCACACCCCGAACTCATGTCTTCATACCCCTGGTGTCTGTGTCCATTGGTTAAGCTTATATACATGCATACAATTCCTTTGGTTGATCTCTCCCCCTTGTGCTCACCCTCCTTTACCTTCCCTCTGAGGTTTGAACATCTGACTGATGCTTCTCTGTCTCTGGATCTGCTTTTGTTAATCAGTTTATGTTGTTCATTATATTCCAACAAATAAGGGAGATAATGTGATATTTATCTTTCTCTGACTGGCTTATTTCACTTAGCATAATGCTCTCCAGGTCCATCCATGCTATTGCAAATGGTACGAATTCTTTTCTTTTTATAGCAGCATAGTATTGCATAGTGTTGCTGGATTAAACAGCCTGATGAGCCCTTAGGCTGTTTCCAAATCTTAGCTATGGTAAATAATGCTATGAACCTAGGGGCCCCACCATTTATTGAAGAGACTGTCTTGACTCCATTGAATATTCTTGCCTCCTTTTGTCAAATATTGAGCTTAATGGCTTGGGTCAATTTCTGTGCTCTCTGTTGTTTCATTGGTCTTTTTGTCTGTTCTTATGCCAGTACCAGGCAGTTTTGAGAACAGTGACTTTGTACTATAGCTTGATATCTGTTATTGTGATCCCTCCAACTTTGTTCTTCTTTTTCAAGATTGCTGCAGCTATTTGGGGTCTTTTTTTCATTCCAGATGAATTTTTGGAGAGTTTGTTTTAAATCTTTGAAATACACCGTTGGCATTTTAATGGGGATTACACTAAGTCTATAGATTGCTTTGGGTAGTATGAGCATTTTAATGATATTGATTCTACCAGTCCATGAACATGGTATATTCCTCCATTTATTTATGTCTTTTTTTTTTTTTTTTTTTTTTTTTTTTAGAGTCCTATAATTTTCTGAGATCAGGTCCTTTAACTCCTTGGTTAAATTTATTCCTAAATTAATTGCTTTTTTGCA